AGAGAGAGAGGGAGAGGAGAGATTCCCAAGCATTCCAATTCGCACTGTCTGTGTGGAGCCCGACGTGGGGCTCAATACTCATGAAGCTTGAGATCATGACTTGAGCCCAAATCAAGAGTCGGATACTTAACTGACTGAGCCACCCAGGTGCCTCCAGAATTACTCTTAAAATCTAAGTCAGAACGTGCCTCCCTAGCTCCTGACTCTTTAGGCCACTCCATCTCACTCGGCATTAAGAGCCGAAGCCTTTCCGTTGACCTCCTAGATCCTGTGAGATCTGCTTCCCCATTATCTCTGCCTCATTGTTAGCGTCTTCCCTCTGTTCATCCACAGCTGCCTTGCTCTGCTTCAAACTTGCCAGGCAGCCTTTCACTTTAGGGGCCTTTGTACTTGGGGTTCCTTTAGTGTGAAAAGCTCTCCCCTCAGATAACTGCACGGCTCGCTCCCTCCGCTTTTACTCACAAGTCACCTCCGTGAGGTCTTCCCTGAGCACCCCAGCCTTTCAAGCCCTGCTCCTTTGCTTCATTTTGATTGCCTGCGACACTAACATATAGCATAAATGGCATTTATCTTGCTTATCTCCCTTATCAGAGCGTAAGTTTCTGTTAGGGACAGGAATTTTTGATCTGTGTCATTTGCTGCTGTACCCCAAGAGCCTGAAACAGTATCTGGCACCCAGTAGGTAGTAGGCCATATCCATGAAATAGGTGAATTTGCTAGACCTATTCTAGGGCTCAAGATTGCCTCCAGCCCAGTCCTAGGATGTGGCATCGGTCTAGCTGATACTTGCCCTTGAAGTATTCTAAGAAGAGTTACAGGATTTGGGTTTGCAGAGTTCTTGGCCTCTCTGTGAAGGGTGAGGAGAGGAAGCAGTTGTGAATCCAGGAAGCCCTAACAATCTATAGTTTGGCCTTGAGTCATCTGCTTCTGGCGGCTGAGCTGACCCGCCTCCTGGCAGCCTGGCATTTTAACAGAGCCCACAGGCAGAGAACCCTGATCCAAGTCTTCTGTACTCACACTGTGCCTAGCTCTCAATTCCTTTGTCTGGCTCCCCGAGCTTTCCTTTTAAAGAATTAGACTGTCAAGAAAATGCTCAACAGAAGGCATGGGGCCCTAAACATTATGTAAAGAGTCATCTTCAAGCAGAAAATAGTGTGAAATACTTTGTACTCACCACATCAACTGCTACTCTGTTCAGGTTAGAAGTCGATGCCGTAACGAAAGAGCCTTCTTATGGGATAGTGAAGAATTCACATTCAGAGCAGCCAGAGGGATTGGAAATGTGGCAGCTGTCAACGCACTCCCCAGGAGTTTCACTGTGTTAGATTCAAGAGCTAAAGTAGCTCTAAGTTTATTATTTTTAATTTTTTTAATGTTTTATTTATTTTTGAGAGAGCACAAGCAGGAGCGGGGGAGGGATGGAGACACAGGGGGACAGAAGATCCGAAGCAGGCTCTGTGCTGTCAGCACAGAGCCCGACGAGGGGCTCCAACCCACAAACTGTGAGATCATGACCTGAGCCGAAGTCAGACGCTCAACTGACGGGGCCACCCAGGCGCCCCAGGTAGCTCTAAGCTTAGACCCCCTAGACAAAGCTTCAGTCAGAGACCAGCCCAGGACTGGGGGGCTGCTATCCAAACTCTGGGGACAGGAAAGTGAGGAGATGTCTAGCTACCTTTCCTACTTGCTGTGACAAAGACTTACAGACTGCGGCCCTCTGCCTGGCAGCCACGGTTCCCAGATTGCATGCCTCAGTGGGAGACGAGGACACTGTTGACACAGGAGCCTTCCCATTGCCTGTGGCTCCCTCTGTGGCACTTCCACAGAGTTTGTCCCCCCTCCATTCCAGAATCAGACTTGAAGTAATGCTGGATGGAATGACACCCGGGCTGGATCTGTGGTTTCTCTGGCACACCCACTTCCCTAGCATCCAGGCTCCAAAAGGTTTCTTCCTTTCCCCTGGCAGTAGCTTTTTCTTTTGAGCTTTCATATGTAAAAACACCACTGGTGGCCAAGACCCGGAGCTCTGTAGCTAAAAGCTCACAGGGATGCCAGTTCGAGTCTATTAGGATATACACGAGAGCTACCATCTGGATGGTGTAACGATTATTAGCCTGGGAAGCTAATCATCACAGAGCTAGATCAAAAGGGACCATACAGAGATAGTAAATTACAATAAATTGAAATCAAGAGAATCCATGGAGATACTAAAAAGACATAACACACCCATTAAAAAGAAGACAGGAACTTTAATCTTTTCTCAGAAAATGCTCTTTGAAATGCACTGACCGCCTTCTGGAGGCTAAGAGGATGAGGTGACAGGCCCATTTGTCTCACAGACTAAGCTGGAAATAATCAACTCACAGGCTCAGGACTCCTCCGCGTGCAGCCTACGGAAGCAAACAGACTTAAGAATGGCCTTTACGTAGTAAGTATAGTTCCGCTGTGATGAGCACTATGATGTGTTTGAACAGAGGGGGGCAAGATGACAACACAGCCTCAGAGACATGCTTTCAGGGTAATACGCTGCTGAGTCACAGTCCCTTTCTCAGTAACAATGGAACGTTCTGACTCCTCCTGTTTACCTGGGGCTATGCATTTAAACGCATGCCTGTTCCCCTCCCAGATCCATCATTGATATTGGCAAGGTAGAGGTGGTTAAGAGAATAGGATTTTACAGTTAAACACATGATGGAATAACGCGGAACAACCTTAAAGTCAAATCAAATTGGGGAGCCTGGGTGGCTCGGTCCGGTCTGTTAAGCTTCGGACTTCAGCTCAGGTCATGACCTCACGGTCCGTGAGTGTGAGCTCCGCGTTGGGCTCTGTGCTGACAGCTCAGAGCCTGGAGCTTGCTTAGGATTCCGCGTCTCCAGCTCTCTCTGTCACTCCCCCACTCGCACTCTCTCTTTCAAAAATAAAATAAAAATATTAAAAAAAAAAGTCAAATCAAAGCAATGACTAGCTACCCAACTAGATACATACCAAATGGTATTACAGTGTACTAATGAGAGATTTTCACCTTTTTATCACTTCCGCAGCATAAGTTAAATAATTAGGTAACTGATACATATTCACTTCCTTATTTTAAATACACCCATTCACATGCAAACCACGACACACGGTCTTTTTTATCTGAAAATATTTGCCTCTAAGTGTTGGTTTACTTAGTCAAAATGGGTGCCTAAATATAATTTCCCCTGCAAAGCTGTCAAAAGAATAACGTTATTGCCTTAGGCAGGAACTCAAGCACTGAAATAAAAGCCGGATCTGAATATCTAATGTATTTTATTTGTTCACATTTGTCCTACTTGAGGTTAACACTACTTCATTTGACAGTTTAAAAATCATTCTGTAAACAAAATAAGAAACAGCAGCAACAGCTCAAAAAAAAACACAATGCATAATAAAGGAATGTGTCGAAAGGGACACTCTGAATCAGCAAAGAAAATGTGACCGCGATGATGAAGTCAACAATAAGGAGAAAAAACCTTCAACATCTGTAAAAGGCAAAACTGTAAGAGTAAAAAAAAAAAAAAAAAAAAAAAAAAAAAAAAAAAAAAAAAAAAAAGCAAGAATCCAAAGTGCAGGTGTGCTAGTTTTCATTTCCACATCCATTCAGGAAATAGATAGAGCATACTATTCTTTTAATAAAGTGACAAGTTCTGCTTTAAAACATTCAGGTACGTTATCTTGCAGATTTTGTTTTTTACTTTACATGATCTCTACTTGACATCGATTTAACGGGAAAGATGGTCATAGAAGATACGTAGTTTAATTTCTTGAACCTATGCACAGTATAGCAATGGTAAAGTTTATCGGTTTTAGTTTTTGCTTTATTTGCAATGAGTAACAAGAAGCTGAAGATCCAGTATCAGAAGCATCAGTACTTTTACTCTTTAAAAAAAAAAAAAAAATCCTGAGCCCTCGGTTATCTTTGTTGTCATTTTCAGATTCTCTGTAACAAAAGACTGTTCATTTTCCCCGAATTCTGGCCCGCTGACTTAAATAATCACAACAGTTTTTTTAATGCAAAGTTGGTCCAGTCTTGGTCCAAATTGATCAACTAGAAGTGTTATTCTGGCATCATGTGAAAATTCATAATTGTTTAGAGCCTCAAATATTTTCCCCTTGAAAGGAAACATCTGTTGAATATGATTTCTGAATAGAGGACTTTTATGAAATATATTTCAAATCTTAAAAAATATTTCTAATGCACCCTCCACCTAAAATGGTATAGGATTTACCCCTGCCAACAATGCCTTTTCCTTTTAGGAACATTTTTGTGTTTGTGGCATTTCATTTTCCTGACGGCTCTAGTTTTATCTAAAAAGCCCAAAGACACAAAAGGCTGCGGCCTTATTTAGCGTTAAACAGCACTATTTTTTAACCATGTACACAGCTCAACAGCAAGATTAAGAAGTTAAAATACACACATATCACGGACAGATTAATCTTTTTTGGAATTCACTGAATTAACTGTATTCTGTTCAATCCCCTCCCCCAAGACAGTGTACTGTACCTACGTCGAGGTGTTTAAATATTTCTCCAACAGTTTTCATTGTATTATATTATGAAAACACTAGGCTTCAAGCCGGGTACTAATAAATATTTAATTTAAAAGGAAGAAAGAAAGCCCAACACGGAACATTAAAAAAAAAACCCTCCCTCCCCTCCCGGTCCCCAGAGAAGGCGCAGGGGTCAGCCTGACATGGCGGAGATCTCATAGTCACTGGCCGAAGTGAGGGGCTTGCCCATCATCCGGATGTTTTTTGCACTGGTGATCCTGGCCATCATGCACACGGGCTTGTCAAAGTACTTCACCAGGGCCGGCTCAGTCAGGAGGGAGGCCAGGAACTGCTCGAAGGTGATGGCCCAGTCCCGGTCCAGGCTGGTGCTCCGGGGCAGGGCCGCCGTGCCCTGGCCGCTGCGCACCAGGACGGTGTCCTCCCCGATGTCCTCACAGTGCAACTTGTCCTCCTCGTGGGAGCCGGCACTCAGCACCGAGTATGAGGACATGGAGCTGTCGTCCTTGGTGTCGTCATCGGAAATCAGCATGGAGGAGCAGGCCCCGTGGTCCCGGGGAGAGGAGTCCTCCAGCTTGATGTCCTCCAACTGCCCTCCCAAGGAGTGTTCCTCACCCTCCACTGCCAAGCCGGCCGGGAGGGGCTCAACGGCCTCCACCATGTAAGGCTGGCCGGGCCCTTTCTTGGGGAAGAGCGCGCCCGGGATGGCCGCGTTGCAGGCGGGCCCGCTGCCCCCGCTCCCGCCCTCCTTGGCAGGCTGGGTGACAAAGAGCTTGCCGACTTCCCCGATCTCCAGGAGGAGGCTGGTCACCGCAGCCGTGGCGTGGTACAGCTCCTGCTCGTTGGGGTCTTCGCTGAACATGTTATACATGGTCTTGCACAGCTCAATAAACTGCCCCTGAAAAGTGATCGGGAAAAACACAGAGGATGGGACCATCTCGTTGGAAGCACAGAGGCAGGACTGAAGCGGACTGTGAAGCCATTTAATAACAGGGCTCCTGAAAGACTCTGAAAAGTCCTCTAGGTAGAACCAACTGGCTACTGTTTAAAGTCTCTTCACTTGGGGTGCCTGGGTGGCTTAGTCGGTTAAGTGCCAACTCTTGATTTTGGCTCAGGTCATCAACTCACTGTTCCTGAGTTCGAGCCCTGCATCGGGCTCTGCACTGACTGTGTGGAGCCTGCTTGGGATTCTCTCTTCTCTCTCTGCCCATCCCCCCATCTCAAACTAAATAAATGAACCTGAAAAAATAAAGTCTCTTCACTCATGTTTCCATTCTTTTTAATTTGAAGAATTTCCAACATCCGTGAAAGTAGAAAGGATGAAATAATGAACCTTCAAGTAGCTGGCACCCAGAGTCTAGAATGATTATCCTACAGTTAGCTGCTTCACCAACTCTTTTATCCTCTGTTCAAGTACTGTTAAGTAAATCCCAGACCTCATCCCATTTCAGGTCTACACTCTTCAGCGTGCAGCCCCAGGTTAGCTCAAATCCCCTCTCTCACATTTGCTGGTGTCGTGGGCAGGAGTGATGCCTTCTACTCCCCACCCACGTGATTCATCTGCTCTCCTGTTAGGAGACAACATTTTCATCCTGGGTTGTATTATTTATATTGTTTCCTCTGCCTCACTACAACTCAGCTTTTTAAGGAAAAAATGTGTCAGACATCTTTATAGCCGAGCACGGTGATTTGAAAACAGCATGAGCTTGTCTTCTGAGTATCTGAGAGTATTTTTAATAACTGAAATGAGAATGTGTATACTCTAAGAACTGAGTATTTTGTGATTTGCATTTTCTCTGGGGGTGGGGGGGTCACCTCCTCACGACCGAACATATTTTTGATGCATGAAAACATGCACAGACTAGATCCAAACAGATCTTAATTGAATACCCCAAGTTACCATTATCTTTTAATTAATTAATGAATTTTATTTTTTAGTTAGAGAGAGAGAGGGCATGCACAAATGGCGGAGAGGGGAAGAGGGAGAGAGAGAGAGAAACAGAATCCCAAGTAGGCTCCACACTCAGCATGGAGCCTGACGTGGGGCTTGATCCCATGACCTCGGGATCATGACCTGAGCCGTGAGGCTCAACTGACTGAGCCACCCAGGCAAGGCATCCCCTTTTATTAATTCATTTTTTATTTTTTTATTGAGTTACCATTATCTTTCAGGGGTACGTAGTCTACATTTTTCTATGACTTGGAAAACATCTTCAAGGTTCAAAATGAATAAACTGAAATGTTAGACACTTACCTGATTCAATTTGGGTAAATCCTTTGCATTCTTTGATTTGGATTTATTTTCCGGAGTCCAGAGTCTTAGATAATTGCGATTTTCTTGAGAATTTGCCCTCTTCCCTAAAACCCAAATGTCAGGAAGTAAGTGTTCAAAGGGCCAGAAACAAGTGTTCACCCAGCATGAGGCAAACATGCGGAAGAGGAGATGTATACCTCTGTCTGGCTGCAGACTCACTGTCACAAAGCCATCCTCCGCACCGTGTTTCCTCCTGCTATCCAGCCCCACCACTGCCAAGAAATGTGCGGAAGAAAGAAAAGTACAAGGTTACATAATACACCCACAGACTCAGCATTTGCAGTAGAAAACAGGAAAACCTTTAGGTATGGCTGCCCGATTTAGCAAAACAAAGAAAACCAAAGCCAAAACCCAGTAAACTGAGTTAAATCTGAATTTGAGATAGGTAAATAATATTTTGGTGTAAGTGAGTCCTAAATATCACATGGAACATACTTGTGCTAAACAAATGATGCTTCGCTAGTCTCGAATTCAGATTTTACTGGTGTTCCTTATCTTATCTGACAACCCTATTTCTCAGTAGTGGATTCCCCCAGAATTATTTTTCACAAACAGGGTTCAGGGTAGAACGAGGAATTTAAGAAACGATGTCGTGTAGTCTTCCCTTCTTAAAAAATGGTGGTGTTGGTCCAATGAATGATTTCCCTACCCTCTCTGTTATATCATCATCTTAACTTTGCATTCATGAGACTGGTTTTCTGCCAGGCTCTGCAAAAGATAAAGAACTCACTTTTTAAAAAAGAAAACCAAAAAATGTGATATGCTACAAAATTCCTTTACGTTCATAATATGGTATTTCAAAACTATGACTTGTTGAGGCTCCTGGGTGGCTCAGTCAGTTAAGCTTCTGACTCTTGATTTCGGCTCAGATCATGATCTCATGGTTTGTGGGGGTCGAGCCCTGCAATGTATTCTGCACTGACAGAGCAGAGCCTGTTTCGGATTCTCTCTCTCCCTCTCTCTTGCCTCTCCCCCACTCATTCTCCCTCTCTCTCTTCTTCAAAGTTAATAAATTTAAAAAAATATATGACTTTCAAGGAAACCACTTTTAACTGTGTTCCTTTTTCTTCTAAAAACAGGACATTACAGGGCACATAAAGACTTCAAAAGGGAGAGGTATAAAACTCCCCCTCCCACTTCCCATTCAGTTTGTCAGCTGTCCAAATGCATTCCAGCACATCTTCAATCATCCAAAAGGTGGCTGGCTTGCCAGATATGTGACCTTCACTGAATTCAGCATCAGGTTAATCTCGGCAGCTTTTAAGACAGAGTGAGAACAATGTACTATATGTCATTGAGAAATTCTTCTCCTCTTTTTTAAATTTTTTTTTTTTTCAACGTTTATTTATTTTTTTGG